GTTTTCCAAAAGGGGTTCTTCTGACCAAAACGGTTCTTGGTAGAACCCTATCCCTCCACAAAGAACCCATTTGGAACCCTTTTTACTAAGAGTGTAGTAAGGGGATAAAGAGAACGGTACAGTATCTTTGTCTCCAAAGGATCTTTCCCATCAAATAACCCCTTTCGGTTACCTTTATAAGTCACCCAGAATACGTAGGCTATTACTACTACTACTAATTTCCAACATATAAGATGATTTTTCATAAGTACTACTTTACAACTGCCACATGTTCGACAACAAATGTATCTTCATTACTTGTCTACCTCAGCTGTAAGGAGAGGACAGGATCCCCTAAAGACCAACTCTAACTCTCCTGTGTTTTCAGGTGTTCCACAAAGAAACCATAGATGTAGAGAACCATAGAACCCTATGGGAGAGGGAAATGACCGTCGATGATGTCATCCTCTGTCCCTAATGAGGGATGATGTTCCAGCTGGAACCCAGTGAGAGGGGTTGCCAGGGGAGAAGGTTTGCAAGGGAGAGGGGTTGCCAGGGACATGTTGGGGACATCTGGGGGACACAGGCCCATTGGGAACTCGGTTTCTGGGCTTTGGAAACTCACAAACACTCCTAGAGGCACTGAGAGACAATTGTTATTAAAAGCTCTATGGACTAAGTCTACCCTTCATTTTTCTCACAACCTTTCATTTAAATGAAACACCTTATAATGATGTCTCTGATAATAACTTATGTGTCTATGTGTTGTGGTCTTATTACAGATGTGTGACTTACTGATGCACATTTCCATGTAAAGACTCCTGATAAGGTGACTTATCATGTAGCAAACTGCTTTGAGATCCTTAGTTGACGTATAGCTATGCAGATGATTAATTATAAACATTATAGGCTCTAGGGGTGAAAAAACTAGGCCTGTTATTTTGTTATTGACAGCATCCAGATGACAACGTCTTGGATACACTCCAAAGTGCATCATGACTTTTTTGGAAAGAAACCCATCAACTCAATATTTCTTCTGGAGAGGAACATTTTGAGGGGGCATCTCTCTCTCTCTCTCTCTCTCTCCCTTTTTTTTCTCTCTCTCCCACTCTCTCCCTCCCTATCCCTATCTCTCTCTCTTCCTCCCTCTCCCTCTCTCTCTGTAATATTCTATTAAAATAAGTCAAATGGGGGCCTCAAGGACAGTTGGCCAAAACAGACAATCTGCTGTGAGAGATATTAATTGTATTTTCTCCTACGATCAATATCACACTGTGGGGAAGGGAGTGGACTGGGAGAGGAAAAGTAAGGAGAGGGCCGTGGGGTGAAACACACATGCACACGCACACACACACACACACACACACACACACACACAGTGGGGTGAAGAGCCACTTTGGCTCTTAACTGACATGACACTGTCCTCACAGCCAGCCAAGGGTCACTTTTGTGTGTGTGTGACAATTTATTGCAAACTTTAGCCAAATAAACAAAACTTCGCTAAATCAGCCCTTCTCACATCTGTCTCTGAGTGACCTACAACAAAGTCATCTGTTCACCAGAGAGGAAAATAAATGTGTGTTTTCTCGCTCGATGTGCAAACTCATTAATTCACTTACTAATGGCCATCAAGGATTTTCAAGGGCGTCCTTGTCAACAAACGATGACAAGTCCGCAGAAGCTAACATTTTATCATGAATCATTATGTCATTTATACTTAATACTTAATACTTAATTCATTCATTAATACTGGTGGCATGCTAACATCGTAAATATTATTCCTGTGGTGTCACACAAACAAATAAAGGAAATTGCAACAATGTGTGTGTTGCATTCTTATAAACACCGCAACTTGTTTTTATTTTTTGTATTTTCATTTTGTAAACAACAAGAAAGAGTTGCCTTCCCTTGCTAGTAGTAGCTAGCCAGTGAATCATTATTAAAGAGGGAGGAAGGAAGGAGGGAGGAAGGGGATAGGGGGAGAGAGGAGTTGTTCCCATAATCTCTATTTTCTCCTGAAGTATGCACTTGTTCACTTACCTTCCTGGATTTGAAAGGAAATGACTGGTATCGTAAATTCCCCCTAGTCTAGACCATGCCTACACCAATCAAATGCTTTTAAATTTGTGCAGAGTAGTGAACAAGTGTACACTTCACAAAGAAGGAGAGATTATTGGGATGCACCCAGAGAGAAACAGACAAACAGACAGATGAAGAAATAGCAGAAAGAAGCTAAAGATAAGGAGACAGGAAGAATCAGTATTTTGAAGCTGAGGTGAAACTGCACCTGAGGAAGAGGACGAGGTGAAAAGATGGAGTGAGAAAAAGAGAGAAAATAGAGGAGAGATGAGGAAAGGTGGGAAGAGATGGAGGTGAGAAGAGCTGGAGGAGAGAGAGAAAGAGAGAGGGGTGAGGAGAGGGTGAGAGAAAAGAGATGAAGGGGAAAGAGGTGAGGAGAGGGGAGCAGATGAGAAGAAAACGAGATAGATGTTTTATGTTTGCATACAGCACCATCTGGTGGTATTTTAAACAACTGCAGATACAGAATATGTATGGTATGGCCATGTAGTATTCATCTACCTACTGTAGCTTCATCAATTTACAGTAAATGCATGGAACATAGTAGACAATTCATATTTTTGTTTTTGAGTGACCTTATAAACCTCAAGGATTGACCATTATTTTCTATTAGGCTACTATTACTACTTTGAACTGCACTAAATGTATAACTGTATAATTTTTGGACCTGTAGCTTTGTATTAAACATATTTGTTGGAATAAAAGTGGCATCAACTTATCATACTGTTATGATTATTTACTTTTTAACTTGAGGTGTTGTGATGTGCTTTTCACATTGAAGGTCGAATTATTACAAAATATCATTAGCCACAATATTTCTTAAAATGTAAGTACATTTTTTGTTTGTAAAATAGATGGGTTAGCTGACAACGTCACGAAAACGATGTGCGCTCTTCCATGGGCAGAAGTCAGCGTGTTGTTGTGATTCTGGATGGCCAGGTGGCTCGTTTCAGCCAGTTTTATCTTGTTATTGATATATACCATGTCTTGTTTTGAGGTGTTTTGACTGATGTCACGTCTATGCTAATATGGCAAAAAATGTGCTAGCTAGCTAACCAACAACTGTAACGATGTATTTGAGAGACAACAAGTGCTCATTGTGCGTATTTTTTTAGATTTTCAATAAACATTGGAGACAAAATATAGCATACATGTTGTCAACAACCTAAGCCAACCCCATCTGTTTTACCCCATAGTTGTGCATGCTAAACAACCAAACCCTATATATGTAAAATCATAGGCTACTGTAATTAAATTAGGCTTCCCTGATTAATGTCTAATATATCTGTCCATATCAATGATATCTGTATATAAAATGGTTTGTAGGTTAATATCAGCAGGAGCTGTTACATAAACTAGCGTAGTCCTTACAGTCATTGGTCAACTTTGAGAGTTAGGCTATGTTCCTTTACTGTTCCTTTAAAAAAAAAGCTGGCGGAGGTGGAGAGGAAGGGGCGTTCGAGACCGTGCACTGTTTGCTTGTGTCAGTTCTGTGTGTGAATACTGCTGAAATCTATAGAATTAGCTAGAAGCTACTAGGGAAACTGGTGGACATTTAACGTGTACGAGTGATTCAACCATAAGCAGGTAAGTTGAACTAAGTTGATGTCCTCATATATCTTGTGCGGATAGTTATGTGTGAATATAGAGGTTGTTGAGGTGCACAATACAAAGGTTTTCTTCGCAGAAAAATGCCGGTTGTACAGAAGAGGCCCGCAAGTATCTTATTTCTCAAGACAACGAATAGGTTCAATGAAATGTCCGAATCCCGCATGTTTTATACATTTAAATTAATATCGTTGTTAGTGATAAAAAATATTCTCGAATAACCCGTGTCCTTTGAGAAGATGACAACGTAAAGTGAGGGTTTGGAAGATCAGTGGCCGGGTAGCGAAGGAACATGGTTGGTCTGCGGTGTCTCCTAGTGATACACACTGGGCATAAGTGCAGCCCGAGCGGCTAGAGGGATATGGGGACTGCCGGGGGTGGCGTTGCGACAACCGGGGCATTGAGGTACGGAGACAATGCCCTCGACATACGTGAATGATTTTGTTGGAAAGAAAACGTTCCTATTTATCAGGTATAGCCTTATGCAGACTATGTTAATGTTGTCACAGGTAAAGTTCAATTTTAGCAGTTAGTATGGATGGTAACATTATTTTTGGATCCAGTGTTGTCGTTCTCGGGTTAAATTATGTATGATGACGGCTATCACAATTTGGACATAGATTGTCGTCTATTTTGACTTTCTACCTTCATACACTGCCTATACATGTACATTTTCTCATCTATCCCCGTTCTATTCGTGTATCACACGATATCGGCGTTTTTGTGAAGTCGTTTTTGTGTAGCCTAGGCTTGGTCTTCTCCGGGCTTGCGGCCCTTCCTCAGCGGTCTACTGCAGCCTTGGAAGTCGGCAACGTTGTTTATCGCTCTCATTGGTAGGCTACAGACAGTGGAGATATAGAATGGCGGGTTTGAGTATCGCGCTACACATGACCGCCCCTTCACCTGCTGCTAGTTTAATAGTGTATTCGTGCATACCGCAGTCTATCTGTAGAATAACCCTAATTGGTTGAGTGATTCATTAGTTATAAGACATTCATATTCGGCAGATTTTGTATTTTTGCCAATTTAGGCCTATGCCCTTACAGCATTGCTGTAGTTCTGAAAAGCATTGAAATAATCATGATATTCAATAAAGGAGCATGTCAGCAGTAATGTGATGTAGACCTTTATAGATCCATAATCGAAATGCAATGATGGGTAGCCTATAGCCTACAGTGACTATCTGAACAATATACTTAAAGAATGTTGTATGATATGCATACAAAAGCTGTATTTTGACTCTCGTTTCTCTCTTTGTTTCAGATGTAAAGATGTGAGTGTGGTCGGAGGCAGATGTGCTCCCATGCTCACACCCACCCCAGCACCACACTAGAATGTACTTGATGAACGTAACTCCAGTCGCGGCTATTCACACAGAATGGAAGTCATCGTGTGGCGGTCCGCCCAGAGGCTTTAGCGGTCTGCCCATCTGCTTCAATGACTCTGACAGCGACTTGTCCACTACTGGAACACCCATCCCAGAGAAGGTCCAGATGATCATAGAGAGCCTAAGGAGCACCCAGTCCTCACTCGACATGGGCGATGAGACGGAGGGGAACCAGGTGCTATCAGGAAAACCAGGACAGGAGGCCGGAGCCCGCGGCTCCCAGGGCCAGGGCTACAATGCCCGGAGGGGGCCTCACGTGGTGATGGGGCCCAAGCCCAAATTCAGAGGCCCTCTTCCTGCCACTCACATTGATAACTTGCTGGCAGTGCCAGAAGTTTCCTCAAATGTTGATTCGGAGAGCCAGAGTTCTGACAGCGATGACTCTGTGGATAGAGGGATCGAGGAGGCCATACAGGAGTACCTGAAGGAAAAGGATGACCACAAACGCAAGGCCGAGCCAGAGCCTTCTACTAATATTCTACAGCCACCCAAGATGCCACGGAGGGAGTCTCCTCCAACCGTTCCGGAACCTCCCAAACAACAATCCGACAGCAATAAGATTTTAACTGCCAGCAACCAGGTCCCGAGAAGTGTCAAAACAGAAACGCAAAACACCACACCCCCGCCCATGAAAACACTTGTAAAAAGTAAGACACCCACCTGCAAAGAGAATCCCTTTAAGAAATTGGACACAACAAGCAAAGCAGCGGTGGTCAAAAAACTGTCCTCTTTCGAAGAGAAGAGAGGCCCCTCTAATTCAAACCCTCTTTCTGACAAACTGAAGTGTCCTGTGGTGAAAGCTGTGAAGGTGGAGGAACACTTATCTGACAGTGGCAGCAGTAGTGATGACGGCATAGAGGAGGCTATTCAACGCTACCAGCAGGAGAAGCAGGAAGAGAGACATGAAGGAGGAGGCAGACAGTCCTCCAAACCCCTTCTTCTCAAAGAGGAGTCAGACTTCAGCAGCAGCGATGATGGAATAGAGGAGGCTATCCGCCACTACCAGCTGGAGAAGCAGAAAGAGAAGAGTGCACCCAAGCTCTCTCTATCTCTACCCCCCAAACAAAAGCAAGTGAGTAAAGCAGCCACTTCCCTGCACTGTCCAGAGAGCACCAGCACTCAGGCAGCGGCCATGAAAAAACACAAACTGTCTAAAAATAAAAAGAATAAACCTGAGACTAGGGATGTAAAATCCTATCTACCCTCACAAACTCCAGGTTCCTCACTCTCTCTTATCAAAAAGAGGTTAGCAGCTAGCAGCCCCAAAGGCAAAGGGAATGGCCTCCTCCTCTCGACTCAAGTGGAGCCCCTGCGAGAGAGGGAGCAGGGGCAGCACACCACCCCAGGCCCAGCCACCCTGAAGGTGAACACCATCACCACCACCCCAGGCCCAGCCACCCTGAAGGTGAACACCATCACCACCACCCCAGGCCCAGCCACCCTGAAGGTAAACACCATCACTACCACCACAGCTGAGTTGATGTGTGCTGAGGCCATTCTGGACATCTCTAAAGCTGTCATCAAAATTCCAGAGGCCTTTAACCCTAACGCAGCAGCAGCAGGCCTTATCAATATCAACAGCAGCTCCACAGAGTCCACCACCACCACTTCCCTCCTCATCTCCACAAACTGCCCTGATGATAATAATAAAAGTGATAATGAGAGCTCCATTGACAGTGAGGAGGGGATCGAACAGGAAATCCGGAAGTTTCTCGAGCAGAAGGCCCAAATGCACAAACTCTCACCTGGGCCTGATTCAGCTGTTGGTACTACAAGTCCGGATGCAACTAACACTACGACAGAACCAGAGAACACCACCAAACTGAGTCTTGCCCAGAAGAAAACACTGAGGCTGTCTTTGACGCCGAGAAGAAAGCGCAAAGAGGAAGGCAGCAGCAGGAAGGGTTCCAAGGAGGAACGAGAGACTGATCTCAAAATGAAAGAAGAGGCAGTCACAAAACCCTTGACCGAGCATGACAGAGGGTCAAGCTCATCCGTGTCATCCCTGAAGAAAGCCCCACTGAAATCAGTGAAGGGCTCAGAGAGGAGGAGGGAACAGAGTGGAGAGAAGAGTAGCTCACTGGACAGTGACGAAGACTTGGACACTGCAATAAAAGACTTGCTCAAGACAAAGAAGAAGTTGAAAAAGAAGACTAGAGATATGAAGTTGAAGTCAAGGAAGGGCCTCAAGGATGATGAGCATTTGTCTAGAAAAACAGCATCGCCGCTAAAGAAGCTCAGAAAGGAGCCTGAACCCAAGACCATCAGTCTTTTGAAAACTAGCCTTGAAGTCACTACAACTCCTACCGCCCAGAGTGGGAACGACAACAGAGAGAAGTGCAATGTGAGTAAGAATGTGTCAAAGCATCCACAGAGCAATAAGAAGAAGGAGCCCCTCAACCAGGCATATGAGACAGACCGATCTGAAGGGACAAGAGGTGTAGGAGGCCTATCGGGAGATAATAACCCAGTGGTGTTTCAGATAAAGGAAGATAGTAGTTCAGTGGACAGCGACGACAGCATTGAACAGGAGATCAGAAAGTTCCTGGCGGAAAAGGCTAAAGTTTCTACTAACACTGTGAAAACAGGAGATGGAAAGGAGATTGGGAACGACAAGGGCAAAACTACAGGCCCTCTCACAGAGAAACTCATCAAAACGGAAAATCAGCTGGCTGAAATTCCAAGAATGGACGTTACTCAATTCCCTGACCTGCCTCGTCAGAGCAGTTCTGATCAGAGAGGAGTTCCGGACAGAGGAGTCTTTCCAAACACACCCCCGGGAAACCCCAACCCCACCTCCACCCTAGAAACAGCCAGGGGATCGTGCCTCCTTTCAACCCTCACCCCCAGCTCCTATCCTACAGCCCTGGAGCCTGCCGATGGGGCTGCCAGAGCAGAGAAGAGGAGGAGATCCAGTTTGGGTTCAGGAAGCGGTGATGCCCCCCAGAGTGCCAGCTCAGAGGTGGCAAGGGGTCACAGCAACAGGTCATTTCCAAGCCCCAGCACCCGCTTGCCCAGGACTGACTCAGAGCAGTGGTTGAAGAGCCAAGTGTTCCCCCCCATTGAGACAAAAGAGAAGATCCATAACCGGAACCCATTCCAGTACAGCTCACCTAGTTTCGGTGAGAAGACAGCCACCACGCCAGCGTATCAGTGTGGAGTATCAGCCAGTATCTATCAACATCGGAGGAGTGCTGAGCCTGCACCTGCATTGGACACACCGGTCTCCACCTGTCGTGATGTTGTACGGATTGGGAGCATCATCAGATCACCACTGGTTCCTTTCCACCGCCCCTCATCCTCAGAGACGGCCGTCGTCTTCAGCTCCCCGTTCCCCAGCCTAACCAGGAGACCTGTGGAGACAGGGCCGTCAGGGAGGTACTTCCTCCAGGGTCATGGGTCAGGGCCGGGCAGCGGTTGGGGTCAATCTCCAATCCTGACCCCCGGGCTGTCGGACAGCAGCGTGGTAAACGTGAACGTAAACCAGACCACGTTTGTCGAACTGTCCAGGAACAAGACCAACCACGTACAGGTCAGGAGCAGGGAAGTGACAATGATTGAGGGAAAGGAGGAAAGGAGAAGCAACTTGTCAGCAGGAGAGAAGGAAAGAGAAAGGGAGAGCAGAAAGCCAGAGGAGAGAGGAGGAGAGCAGATAGGAAGACGAGGAGAGGAGGAGTGTGTAGATGAGACAGATGTCAGCGAGTCAGACGAGAGGACGAGCCCAGAGAAGAAGCAGGGCTTTCCTACTTTGTAAGTACAGGCTTTTTCCTTGTTTATAACTTCACATAGCCTTTTTTTTTAGTTAGCCTATTGAGTGTGCCCTCCTTCCTAGAGGATATCATGTCAATTCAAGTACATTCGTTCATTCGTAGGTTCCATGGGATTGTTTGTTTGTTGTTGATACACAAAATGAGCATAGTACAAAGCTTATTTTTATATGTTTGTACATTTATACATCTATTTAAAATACTATAACACAATGTAGTCAAGAATTTAAGACTAAAACCTTCCTTTTTTCATTTGTGCTCTGAGATTCCATTTTCTTTTACATTCTTATCATTCAAACCCTTAAAAGCAATATCAGCCACCACCCTGGACCAACAAGCCTAGTGCATGAATGTTCATACCACCAATGCACAGCTGTGTGTGTCTGGTCATTTATTACAGGAACTGAGATGGTCATTTTTGTCTCACTGACATTTTTTAAAAGATGCAACACTTTCAAACCCTATCAAATATATAAGCCTAACAACCCTCAAATACTATACAAGTACAATAAAATGTTGGGTCAAATACAGAACAATAAAGACATAATTTTAACAAGGAGGAGTGATGTAGAAGTGTTTTGTAGCTCCAGGGATGAGTGGCTTAAAGGGACTCCTTTTTAAAATGCAAATACTTCAAACTCTGTATTCAAACAGCCTAATATTCCTGTGTGTGTCTGTGTTCCCTTACCCTCGTTGTAATTTCTTTGCATTCTAACAGTCTTCCCCATTTAATGACACGAATGCATGGAAACAAAAAAATGATCATTCTCATAACAAGCCCTTATCATAAGGATTCTGTCAGCAGTGGTTAAATTAGCAAAAGCGACTAACCTCCTGTCACGAATGCTGTTTTTACACATGCTTTCTGTGTATTTGCTCTGTTTTGTCTCTGATTTAAAATATACAAGTTCTTTCCAAATTTTTGTGGCCTATCATGAAGAGTTGTCCTCTTTACAATCATAGGCACATTGCCCATATCAATGGATAATTTCCTGCTCACAAACTGTCAACAGCGCACACACAAACTCATCGGGCTCTTCGTGTTTCTGCACTTGCCAATTGGTGTTTCGTTTTTTGTTTGTTTGCTTGTTTTATGTTCTAGTAGTTTTCTTGAATTTTCATATGTGAAAAGAATGTTATTTATTTTTGTTTATGGGAAAAAAAAGGAGGAAAAAATACTTACTGAACATGCTGTGCATCGCCAGTTTTCATAAATATTTTGCAAGAATTTAACTTTCCCCCGTTTTCCATGTCAGAGGAAAGACACTTTGACTGTATCTTTAAAGTGTAACTGTGTAATAAAGAGTGAATTTCAACAACAGTGGTGCCTCTTATCTAATTGAACATACCGTATGTGAATAATTAACACTAAATTTAAGATTGATATGGTCAATATGAGTGTGTGTGCATGTATTTGTGAACCAATGAGAAAATGTCAAAAGATAATCATATGGTATTTTAAAATAGTTTAATATCAAAATATAGCCCCAACAATATAAGAAACATACCTTGATATTGCTCAACATAGATGGACCATGGATTTACATTTTAGTCATTTAGCAGACGCTCTTATCCAGAGCGACTTACAGTTAGCGCATACATTTTCATACTGGAATCGAACCCACAACCCTGGCGTTGCAAACGCCATGCTCTACCAACTAAGCTACATCCCTGTCGGCCATTCCCTCCCCTACCCTGGACAACGCTGGGCCAATTGTGCGCCGCCCCATGGGTCTCCCGGTCACGGCCGGCTACGACAGAGCCTGGATTCGAACCAGGATCTCTTTTATTTTTTTATTTTTTTTTATTTAACCTTTATTTAACCAGGTAAACCAGTTGAGAACAAGTTCTCATTTACAACTGCGACCTGGCCAAGATAAAGCAAAGCAGTGCGATAAAAACAACAACACAGAGTTACATATGGGGTAAAAAAATAAATAATAATCAAAAATACAACAGAAAATATATATACAGTGTGTGCAAATGTAGCAAGTTATGGAGGTAAGGCAATAAATAGGCTATAGTGCAAATTAATTACAATTAGTATTAACACTGGAATGCTAGATGTGCAAGAGATTATGTGCAAATATCTCTAGTGGCACAGCTAGCACTGCGATGCAGTGCCTTAGACCACTGCGCCCCTCGGGAGGGCATGCATGCATCACAGAAGAGCTCTTCAAGATGTACCTACCAGCTGCTGCTACTCAGGACACTTGCCACTGGAGGAATGTGGATTGCTTTTAAACAACAATATCTACAGTGCCTTCAGAAAGTATTCATACCCCTTGACTTGTTTGTTGTGTTACAGGGTGAATTCAAAATCGATTAAATACTTTTTTTCCCCTCTCTCACCAATCTACACACAATACCCCATAATGTTTTTAGAAATTGTAGCAAATTTTGTGAAAATAAAATACAGAAATATCTCATTTACATAAGTATTCCCACCCCTGAGTCAATACTTTGTAGAAGCACCTTTGGCAGCGATTACAGCTGGGAGTCTTTCTGGGTAAAGGCATCCGTATGCTTCCCAGCCGAAACAGTTCGAAAGAGTTCATGCATATATTATGATGACATTTTGTGACTTTGTTTTTGTTTGTTTTGGACTTCAGTGGGGTTTTCTGGGCTGTTCGAGCCCACACATGTTTTTGTGGAGGCAAGATGAAGTTCGGAGCCGAAGTCTACGCTCCTTCGTCACTGATTGGTCAAAAGTAGGGATTCTTCAATAAAGTCTTCGTCATTCAATGAGAGACGGCTCGTTTTCGTTCACATTTTTCCGTTGACGAACTGAAGCATGCTCACGCCTTAAGTCTAAGAGCTTTCCACACCAGGATTGTGCAACATTTGTCCATTATTCTTTTCAAAATTCTTCAAGCTCTGTCAAATTGGTTGTTGATCATTATTGGACAACCATTTGCAGGTCTTGCCATAGATTTTCAAGTAGATTTAAGTAAAAACTGTAACTCAGCCATTCAGGACTATTCACTTCTTGATAAGCAACTTGAGTGTAGATTTGGCCTTGTGTTTTAGGTTATTGTCCTGCTGAAAGGTGAAATAATCTCCCAGTGTCTGGTGGAAAGCAGACTGAATCAGGTTTTCCTCTAGTATTTTGCCTGTGCTTAGCTCCATTCCATTTTTTTTTGTATCCTGAAAAACTGTGGAGAGTGGTACTCAGTAATGTGCTATATTGGATTTGCCCCAAACATAACATTTTATATTCAGGACAAAAAATGAATTGCTTTGCCAAATTTTTTGCAGTATTAATTTAGTGCCTTGTTGCAAACAGGATGCATGTTTTGGAATATTTTTATTTTGTACAGGCTTCCTTCTTTTCACTCTGTCAATTGGGTTAGTATTGTGGAGTAACTACAATGTTGTTGATCCATCCTTAGTTTTCTCCTATCACAGCCATTAAACTCTGTAACTGTTTTAAAGTCACCATTGGCCTCATGGTGAAATCCCTGAGTAGTTTCCTTCCTCTACGGCAACTGAGTTAGGAAGGACGCCTGTATCTTTGTATTGACTGGGTGTATTGATGCACCCTCCAAAGTGTAATTAATAACTTCACCATGCTGAAAGGGATATATTCAATATCAGATTTTTTTTTACCCATCTACCAAAAATTGCGAGGCATTGGAAAAGCTCCCTGGTGTTTGTGGTTGAATGTGTGTTTGAAATTCACTGCTCAACTGAGGGACCTTACGGATAATTTTATGTGTGGGGTACAGAGGTAGTCACTCAAAAATCATGTTAAACACAATTATTGCACAGAGTGAGTCCGTGCAACTTATTATGTGACTTGTTAGGCACATTTTTACTCCTGAACGTATTTATTAGGCTTGTAATAACAAAGGGGTTTAATACCTATTGACTCAAGACATTTCAACTTTTCAATTTTAGTTAATGTGTAAACATTTCGAAAAACATAATTCCACTTTGACATTATGGGGCATTGTGTGTAGCACAAAATCTTAATGTAATCCATTTTAAATAAGGGCTGTAACACAACTAAATGTGGAAAAAGTAAAGGGGTGTGAATATTTGCTGATTGCACTGTATGTAACCCTTGCTATATTGTCCATGTACATGACTCATTTAGCTCATGTTAAAGGCCTCAGTCTCCTCCTACTTTCCTCTCATTATTGTATTAAATCAAAGTTACTCAGCAGTACCTTGGGCCCAGATACATTTTATCAACAGACAGATTGGAAGACATGAATGAGAAACTCCAAGGCCTCTCCTTGATTTCTTAACATCTCCCTCTGGTAACAGCATGTAACTCTGTTCTGCGGCTAGACCATTTACATTTCTCTACTGTTGAGATTGAGAATTATATGATCATACTATAGGACTCATGATTTGCATAACGTGTAGTGCATAAGCAGTGTCAATCACTGTTTAAGGAGTATGGAAATGAGGCTGTCTTTAATTAATCTTGCTCAGTCTGAGCAGATTGTCCAATCTCCAAATTATAATTAGTAGTCAGTCTGCTGTTGCCGGCTGCAATGTAGCCAGTCTAAAACATGCACTGATGCTACTTCCCCTGCCTTGCCCCAGGTCTCTATCCAGCGCCATTGATCCTGGTGTCGACCTCAGCCCTTACATAGCACTGAACACAGAGGAGAGGAGCAAGAGGTTCAGATGGATGTGTAAAGCAGTCGCTGTAAAGCAGCCAAAGGTACAGTGACATACAGGGACCGTTCAGCCTGTTGCACACTGCCCATACAATGCCAAACAAACACCAACAAAAAAACTGAGTTGGCTAGGTGTGCCCCTATGTGTTGGATATTGTATGGGCATTGTGCAAGGGGCTTTAGAGTGTGTTCTAATTTGCCAGGAATAGGTTTGTGATGAATTGGGGTTTGTTGACTTGGTTTGTTGACAATGGAATCTTTCGGGTGCTTTTTTTCTTTAGACCAAGATTGAGAAACCTGTCAAGAGGGTGCTCCAATTTCTACCACTATCCAGGTACCTTTTGTCAGTCTCATCTTGTCATTTTTACCATACTTGATAACACAATAGTACAATATGGAGATAAATAACATGATTAGAATCTTAAGGGGTTCCTTGAGTCAAATCAAATGTTATTTGTAACCTGCTTCATTAACAGGTGGACTAACAGTGAAACTATTACTTATGGGCCTTTCCTGACAATGCAGAGAGAAAAACTGAGTGTAATGATAAATGATTTTGCTTTGCAGGAAAAATGAATCAACTTGGAAGTGAAGTACATCTTCAAGATTTCTTATCAAACATTGAAATTAAATAACTGTTATTGTTGGTTGAGAGGGTTTGTCTGTTGTATGTTAATTGTTTGATTGGGAAGTATGTTAGTTATGTTGAAATTGCACTTTAGCTCTTTGTTGGTTTGTTCAACAATATTTTTATTATTTTTATTTGTTTCAGATTTGGATATTAGGCCATTTTGATTAGGCCATTGGTTCTCAATATTAACATTTTGAGAGTTGTTGAAGAATGTTTTCAATGTTAATACATTTTCTTCTACATCATGTTCATATTAATGTTGAAATATAATTTCTTGACACTTTTGGAAAAACAAGGTTATGAAATCAACAGATCCGGAACATCTGGCAAGAAAGAGGAATTGTTTTACATTTTTAGCAGACACTCTTATCCATAGCGACTTACAGTTAGTGCATACATATATTTTTTTCATACTGGTCCCCCATGGGAAACGAACCCACAACCCTGGCGTTGCAAACGCCATGCTCTACCAACTGAGCTACAGGGGACTAGGAATGAACAGGTAACTGCCAAAATAAAGGAAACACTTGAGTAAATGAGGGACACCGAGTATATTGAAAGCAGGTGCTTCGACACAGGTGTAGTTCCTGAGTTAATTAAGCAAATTAACGTCTCATCATGCTTAGGGTCATGTATAAAAATGCCCAGCTTCCTATTATTTTGGCAACTATGGCTAGACAAGAGATCTCAATGACTTTGAACGAGGGGTCTCGTAGGTAGGTAGGTAGGTAGGTAGGTGTTAAAGTATGTGTATTTTACTATACTGCTGAGTACCAGAAGTCATCACAAATAAATAAATTAGGCCCTAATCTATGGATTTCACATGATTGGGCCTGGGAGGGCATAGGTTCCCACCCACTGGGTAGCCAGGCTCAGCCAATCAGAATGAGTTTTTCTCAACAAAAGGGCTTTATTACAGACAGAAATACTCCTCAGTTTCATCAGCTGTCCGAGTGCCTGGTCTCAGACATCCCGCAGGTGAAGAAGCCAGATGTGGAGGTCCTGGGCTGGCGTGGTTACATGTGTTCTGCGGTTGTGATGCCAGTTGGAAGTACTGCCGAATTCTCTAAAACGACGTTGGAGGTGGCTTATGGTAGAGAAATTAACATTAGATTCTCTGGCTACAGCTCTGGTGGACATTAGTGCAGTCAGCATGCCAATTGCAAAACTTGAGACATCTGTGGCATTGTGTTGTGACAAAACTGCACATTTTAGAGTGGCCTTTTATTGTCCCCAGCACAAGGTGCACCTGTGTAATGATCATGCTGTTTAATCAGCTTCTTGATATGCCACACCTGTCAGGTGGATGGATTATCGTGGCAAAGGAGAAATGCTCACTAACAAATTTGTGCTCAAAATTTGAGAGAAATACGTTTTTTGTGTGTATTGTACATTTCTGGGATATTTTATTTCAGCTCATGAAACCAACACTTTACATGTTGCATTTATATTTTTGTTCAGTATAGTTGTTTAGTAAACTGTCAAACATTAACTTGTTTGACCATGCTATAGGTCATGTAGGCCTAACTGTTTGTTACATGCAATATTTGTTTTGTGGACTTCACCTGACAGCTTGCTCTCCGGTTTTGTGATGAAACAAAGGTATGTGTAGTTCAATTTATTGCACCACTGTGTGACAGTTGTCTTTTTGTTGTCTCGGCCTTTTTGTAGGCTATATCACAGTGGCTTATGAATGAATGGGTTATAGAGCAAACAACACAATTATCACGAACTAACTTGTAATATGGCTTTTTTACTATCTGGACATCCCCAGTGATTTTACCCAAGCACCACTACTGCGCATCCCACAAATGGAGTTCCAAACACGTTTAGAATATATGCCAAGGCGCATTGATGCTGCTCTGGCGGCTCGTGGTGGCCTAACGCCCTATCCTTGGCATTGATGCGGCTCGTGGTAGCCCAACGCCCTATTTAAAACGTTTTATGTTGGTATTTCCTTAATTTTGGCTGTTACCTGTACATTGCTTGGTATTACATTTCAATAAAGTTTTTTGAATAAACAAATTAAGTGCTCATGGGAGTTGTAGTCCACCATAAATTATTGACGCTTGATCTAGTACGCACGAAACATCCAATGGACTACAACTACCCAGTTGCATTTTTATTTGATCTTCAGTGGGCGGTACAGAGCCTAAGCAAGCATGGCAGCTGGAGTTCTTACCAAAGGTACATTTTATTTACATTATACAATCAATTGATGTATTTTGGTTATGCTTATTAAAGAATTGATTTTAAATCTTTTTTGCTACCTTGTAAAACTGTACAACCTATGCTTGTTTGATAGGCCGACAATTCCATTACACAACCAATGCTAGCTAGCAGTAGCATCACACTAGATGTCTGCGTGGGACTGATTTTTTTCATCTTGTTAGCACCCACAGCTTTTTCATACCCACCCGCTGGCTTTCTGTCCGACTCCCACCCACTACCGTAAGAATTGTCCCAACCCAGTCCCAGCAATTTTGCCCCCTATAGGCAATATCAAATGCATAAAAATAACTTAAGAAATTGGTTAAATTACCAGAGATTCTCACGTGGCCCATTGTTAGGCTATCTGTATTACTGGGCTAGAGTATACTAGTATTTCAAGTTTTAATGTCACATGCACAAGTACAGTAAAATGCCTTTCTTGCAAACTCAAAACCCAAAAATGCAATAATCAAGAACAATGTATTACTAGAAAATATGAAATACACTAAGTAAGCATACTATATACTGGAAATATTGAAAAAGTCAGTTCCAATACCATATTTACATGTGCAGGGATACTGGAGTGATGGCGGTAGATATGTATAGGGGTAAGGGGACTGGGCAACAGGATATAAAATAAACGGTAGCAGCAGCGTGGGGGTGTGTAGAGTCAGTATAAATGTATGTGCGTATTATGTGTAAGTGAGCAAATTATGGAGTGAGCGTTTGTGTGTGTTGGAGTGACAGTGTGTAGGGCCCTGTGAGTGTGCATAGAGACAGTGCAAATATTGAAATAAAAAGTCAATAAAGACACAAGAAACTCAGTCCGTGTAGCTACACACATGAGCCAATATGCTAGATGTAGTTTGAAGAGCGCGGAGTTGGAGACTTGCACTTTCTCTTGAGCTATTTTTATAGCCTACCTGAATAGCCTTCCTGAATATTTTCAGACGGAGTAAACTATAGCCTAATTATATTTAGGAAGTACATTTCCTTGGAAAGATAACTGCCCTGTGCTTCTCCGCCCATCCATAGGCTATAGCCTACTCTATTTAATTGAGCACACGCGCACCTGATATCGCACATATGGCTACTGAACTTGAAGCAGCAAGAATGATGACAGCGACACTTGCTACGTTTTTTATAGTCCTATAGGATGTATTCAGACTCCTTCCCTTTTTCCACATTTTGTTACGTTACAGCCTTATTCTAAAATGGATAAAAAAATTTTTTCCCCTACTCAATCTATACACAATACCCCCCCCCCCCCCCCCTTATTTACATAAGTATTCAGACCCTTTGCTATGATATTTGAAATTGAGCTCCGGTGCATCCTGTTTCCATTTATCATCCTTGAGATGTTTCTACAACTTGATTGAAGTCCACCTGTGGTAAATTCAATTGATTATACATGATTTGGAACAGCACACACCTGTCTATATTAGGTCCCACAGTTGACAGTGCATGTCAGAGCAAAAACCAAGCCATGAGGTCGAAGGAATTGTCCGTAGAGCTCTGAGACACTATTGTGTCGAGGCACAGACCTGGGGAAGGGTACCAAAACATTTCTGCAGCATTGAAGGTCCCCAAGGACACAGTGTCTGCCATCATTCTTAAATGGAAGAAGTTTGGAACCACCAAGACTCTTCCTAGAGCTGGCCGCCCGGCCAAACTGAGCAATCGGGGGAGAAGGGCTTTGGTCAGGGAGGTGACCAAGAACCCGATGGACACTCTGACAGAGCTCCAGAGTTCCTCTGAGGAGATCTCTGCAGCACTCCACCAACCAGGCCATTATGGTAGAGGAAGCCACTCCTCAGTAAAAGGCACATGACAGTCCGCTTGGAGTTTGCCAAAAGGCACCTAAAGGACTCTCAGACCATGAGATTCTTTGGCCTGAATGCGAAGCGTCACGTCTTGATGAAACCTGGCACCATCCCTACGGTGAAGCATGGTGGTGGCAGCATAATGCTGTGGGGATGTTTTTCAGCGGCAGGGACTGGAAGACTAGTCAGGATCGAGGGAAAGATGAACGGAGCAAAGTACAGAGAGGTACTTGATGAAAACCTGTTCCAGAGCGCTCAGGACCTCAGACTGGGGCGAAGGTTCACCTTCCAACAGGACAACGACACTAAGCACACAGCCAAGACAGCGCAGGAGTGGCTTCGGAACAAGTCTCTGAATGTCCTCGAGTGGCCCAGCCAGAGCCCGGACATGAACCAGATCGAACATCTCTGGAGAGACCTACCTGAAAATAGCTGTGCAGCAACGCTCCCCATCCAACCTGACAGAGCTTGAGAGGATCTGCAGAGAAGACTGGGAGAAACTCCCCAAATACAGGTGTGCCAAGCTTGGAGGTTCATACCCAAGAAGACTCGAGGCTGTAATCGCTACCAAAGGTGCTTCAACAAAGTACTGAGTAAAGGGTCTGAATACTTATGCAAATGTAATATTTCAGTTTTTTTTTTTTTTTTATACATTTGCAAAAAATTATAACCTGTTTTTGCTTTGTCATTATGGGGTGTTGTGTGTAGATTGGGGGGGGGGATTATAATAAGGCTGTAACATAACAAAATGTGGAAAATGTCAAGGGGTCTGAATACTTTCCGAATGCACTGTAACCTACCTTTTTTAGGAGGACGATTTGCAGGCAGAGACAAATAAATGGGTCATTAATACTTATTGAAAATGAAAAGGCGCAACGCTCGCTCGCCATTGTAGCCAAATCTATACTTGCGTTGTGCCTTTTTCATTTTTAATAAAACATTTTACTGCACCTCGACTCACGTTTGTTGAGGGCCCTCCACTTCTTTCCATTATCAATATTTATTTACAGACACTGTAGTAAACTACAGTCTAATCATATGTAGTTAATTTCATATTTAAATGAATTGCCACTTGATTCTCCGGCAATGTAAGCAGCCTACTCTATTTCAATGAGAAAACACATACTAGGCGCACTTGAACTCACACACACAACTATAGAGGAGAGGTAGGCTACTGAAATTGAAGCAACGAATTCTGTGTGTGAATAATGTGAAAAAATATGTGCTTTTAACACAATAGGTAGGCTTAAGCTAACGCATGCGAAGCAGCAAGACAAACATTTCCAAATAATCTGCGGGACAACAAATATTTGAATCCCAAAGTAATCTGTCTCACTGCCCGCTCCTGCCGCAATGATCTCTGTCGGGTCCCGCGGGCATCCCACGGGAATGCAGCCCTCTATATCACACATTCAAATCAAGTTGGATGGTCAACGTTACAATGTAGTCGTTGTAATTTTGCAGTTAGCTACTGTCGTTATCTTATGACTGCTAGCTAACTTTATGCTGGTGTGTTTCTTAGGTTTGCGCGGGCTCCACCACCCCTGGCTTGTTGCAGCCGGATATTCCTGTAGTGGACCTCTCTATGCGATTGCTGCGGCTGTCAAAACACTCCCCTTGCAAACTGACAGCACAGGTAGGCAGTTGTCAGTGACAAATACATTTAGCTGTTTTACAGTAGTTATAGGCATGGATATTAAGTTTTACACGCATTCATAAAGATTCTCTACTTCACCATCACAAGGAGAAAATCTCTTCTCTCTTTTTTTTCTAGCTGTCACTGACAAGATCCTGAACCTTCCCCTTGAAATGCCAGATTTCTTCCGCTTGTCAGAACTGTTCTCGTTGAAAGATCTATTCGATGCCAGAGTTCACCTCGGCCACAAGAAAGGCTGCAGACACAGGTGTGTTGACTATGATTTCCATATTTAATCTAACAGTTGCACTATGATTTGTTGTCAACTTGTCGTTGTGGTTCATATTAGACTTATGACTCTGATCTACCATCTTGGATCAGACGAGTAGAATAAATCATCTCTATTGGGCAAAATGTTTGGCAGCTTTCAGATATTAGAGACAACATGTAAGTATAAACATAAAAACGTTCTCACACAAACAATAATCTCTGGTTTCTCTCTCTCCTTCCCTCCCTCTTTCTCCCTCCCTCTCTCGTAGGCTGATGGAGCCCTACCTGTTCGGCAGTCGACTGGACCAAGACATCATCGACCTGGACCAGACAGTGGAGCACCTCCAGAGCGCCCTAAACTTCACCGCCCACATCGCCTACCGCGGCGGCGTTATCCTCTTCGTCTCCCGCCGCCGCCAGTTCGGTCACCTGGTGGAGAGCACAGCGCGAGACTGCGGAGAATACGCCCACACACGCTACTGGCAGGGCGGCCTGCTCACCAACGCACCCATCCAGTACGGCCCGGGGGTTCGGCTGCCTGACCTCATCGTCTTCCTCTCAACGCTCAACAATGTCTTCCAGCAGCATGTTGGGGTCCGCGATGCGGCGAAGATGAATATACCCACAGTGGGGGTGGTGGACTCTAACTGCAACCCCAGCCTGGTGACTTACCCGGTGCCTGGGAATGACGACACGCCAGCCGCTATGGAGCTGTACTGCCGCCTGTTCAAGATGACCATCAACCGAGCCAAGGACAAAAGGAGACAGATGGAGCTGCTGCAGGGTCTATCGGCAGCTGGCCTCACACCAGGCTCCTAGTGAGAGGCAACACGGGGGAATGAAGGGCCCCTGTTTGAGTTCTTTGAAAATGTATTCTTCTTTACTCCCTTCCTTTAAGTAATACCTGATCTAAAGTGATAGGATATGTGAAATCTCTACCTTTTGGCTAAGATTGTAGTATCTGGAAGCAAGTGTTCCACTTCATAGTTTGCCCCAACATATTGATATCAGATTAGGGATTTATGCCAAAGAAGAGAAGATAGAGGACGAAAATCAGTATTCGAACATGGCCAAGGACATTACTGCTAAAAGACTATGAATACTCTATGAAGCACCATGTTTTAGCAACAGATTTGATGAATTTGTACAGAAGCCTTGATATTTTTCTAGATGTACAAAATGTGTAATTACAATGTTTGTTCCATTATCAACTGATCCAGATTTGATCAGCATGTTTCCAGATTATTGCTAAATCTCAGTTTGTTTGTCATCATCTGATCAAATTCAATGAAAAAAATAGAATTTCTGAATCAAATGACATGAATGCACTGCACTCATTCTATTTATCAAGTAAACGTTATTTTCACTAAATATGTTTGGTCTCCTTTTTTGTGTCAATTTTTCTACATGCACAGTTATTTGTATCCCCATTTTCTCATCAATTTCGTGATTACGATCGTGTCTCATTTTTATAAATGGGGACAGATTTGTTCGTTCAACATGGTGGGATCTTTTTGTGTCTAAAATGGATCATGTGAGAAATGGAAGTGGAAACGCCTTTATGCGCAAATATTGATTGAGACATGGCCGACTTTGGGAAACCCTGGGCTAGAGTGCACATGCCAACACCAGAGTAGGCATATTTGCTTTTTAATTAACGCAACAGTTTTAGTGACAACTATCCGTAGAGTTGAAAATATTGAACTAAAAGCTTTTATTGGGTATATGAAAACTTAAGCGAAAAAGTACATTTTGTGTACACTACTTCATCACGCACTGAGTTTTATCCGCAAAAAGTAAATTTGGTGGGGAAAAGGCGCATATTTTCTTTATGCGTATTCTGGAGTATTCGCATGAAAATCTGCCGCCAATTGGATGGAAACCTAGATAGTGGACCTGTATGGGACTGAATGAAACCACTCAAACGCATACTTGCTTGCCTTAAATTGTCCTTCAAAGATTCCGTAGGTGACCCTTATAAATAGACACCTCCCCGGTTTTTCGTCCTCTTGTCTTCTCTTCTCGGTCTGAGCATGGTAAGTAGCACATGGTGATGTACGTGGTTTAGTTTCAGGCCTACCTATTGTAGAACTGTAATACACCCAAACATGAATGTAAAAGTTATTGAGCACTTTTTGTTGTCTCGGGTGCAGCAACATATTATTACTTTTTGACTACAAATTTAGTTGTAACCATATACACGTGGTTCCGTGCTACTGGCACGACCTAGACCGTTTCGGGATACGGTTGGCAACGATGTTTCGGGAGCGTCTCGTACAATTATTTGTAGTAACGTGTTGCTGACTCAAGTAATACGTGTAGTCGGACATGGCTGTTGGAAGTTGGTGCGAGCAAAAGTAACTCATTGACTGCCAGTCACTCACGTCGTAAAGGTCTCATTTCTCGATTGATATGCGTACTTTTACGCTTATAGTAAATTCATAAGATTCTGATTTTATTTAAGAGGCGTTGCAGGCTCGGTTTGTGACCTTTCCATTGGTCATTAGATTGCGGGGCGAAAGGTGTCGTATTTTCTAGTGGCTGCGGCCACCTGGGCACTCAGATTTGTGGCTTTATGTAGGTGTATATAATATTTTAAACGGCATCTCCTCCACTTTTCAACCTCCCCTTCATTGTCTCCAGCACCAAACCAGAGTCTAAATATGCGAAAACGGTGCGTTTCTCTGGTTAAGAAAGATAAAGGTCCTAAATGCTGGTGACATCACGGTTGGATTGAAAGTGAAACGTTGATTTTCAAAACCTCTAAGTAGTTTTTAGCAAGCGGGAGTCTTTTTTTTCTTGCTCACCTTGTCACTGCAAATATCAGTGTTTTGGAAGTCACTCTTTAAAATGTTAACTTTTGATGTCAGGGTAAAACGTAACTATATGTGACGGTTTTGACATGTGGACTGTTAATGCTGGAGACGAATGTTAGTGGCGGAGTTGCCCTTTAAGGGTAAAGAATCACTCATTAATGTCCTGTTTTCTCTTTATAGTTGTGTCTCAGAGGTGAAGAGTCCAATGAAGAACATTGGATACCACGATCTATTGGTCTAAGTGGATGACACATGAAAGTAGCAGTAAGGCCTGCCTTTCCCCCCTGAAAGAATGCTGTGCACATAACGGTAAGCAACATCAGGTGGCATTTTGAACTCTGTCCAGTCTTAAAATTAATGCGTAATAGGTCTGTGATGAGAAATCATGCACCACGCTGAACTTGTGATGGATAACCTCTACCACATTATCTGAGACCTGCACAGACATGGTTACAAATGCTGCTTTACAAGGCTTGGTTGTGAATGCTTTGTGCTGGTGTCCCAGACATGGGTTAAGCCTACTCTTGGACTAAAGGTATTTCAATGGAGAATCCATTTAGGCCCCTACTAACAGTTTAATGGGCTTGTGTTTTTCAGAAGACAAGTTAATTATGGTATTTCTAGGTGGTTCTTGCCCCTTGCAATGTAACTCATTGTTGCACTGAGCGGGCAGACTGAAACTGACCAATAATATTTGAATCAGCTGTGTAATGTTGGGGCAAAAACATGCACCCCTTGGGGTCCCGAGGACAGAGTTTACAAAACGCTGCCCGTCGAGGTCTGGAGCCTGCTGGGTTTCTGTTCTACCTGAATTTCACCCACCTGGTGTCTTGAGGTCTAAATCAGTCCCTGACTAGAGGAAATAATCTACTTGGACTAACTACTTATTTGTACACTTTGACTACTACTGCTTCGTTGCCTTGACTGTTTTCCTGTTGGCTCTTTTTAAACTGAAGTGTTACCATCTTTTGTCCTTTTCAGATAAAGGATAGTCTCGAGGTGCAGCAGTGCTGACTTAATGGTCATAGTGGGTCATGACATGCTACCACAAGCCATGGTAAGTCCTTGCCTCATGTGGTTATGCACCTGCTAAATGTATGTTTTCCTAGCAATCTGCCCCTTGAGGTGTTGCAGTCCGACTACGTGTTGAGCCTGTGTCATGAGGGGCGGAGAGTGACCGGGCTATGTCTACGCCAAGGACCCAGAACAGTGGGTACTTGGAGTGATCATAGCGCCAACATCAGCAACAGTATATGAAATGTAATATGGGTGACTGACTGTTCATATCATGCCTAACTTCCTGTTTTTTCTTTATGGTTGTCCTTAGGATGTGAAGCTGCCAATGAGAAATTGGATACCGCTGATCGATTGGTGTCCTGTCCATAGCGGATGTAATATTAAAGTAGCAGAATGATTGCTGCCTTTCCTCCCTGAAAGAATGCTGTGCAGTGTGCACATAATGGTAAGCAACAACCGTGGCATTTTTAACTTCAGTCTTAAAATAAGTGTAATAGGTCTGTGATGAGAAATCATGCACCACGCTGAACTTGTGATGGATAACCTCTACCACATTATCTGAGACCTGCACAGACTTGGTTACACATTCTGGCTCACAGGGCTGGGTTGTGAATGCTATCACACCAGATACGGACTGGTTTTTTAATAAGTTATCTGTGCTCAGCAGATGCATGTCTGTATTCCCAGTCATGTGAAATCTATAGATTAGGGCTTAATTTAGTTCAATTGACTGATTTCACAGTATAGATTAGCCTACTCCTGGGCTAAAGCTCTTTCAATGGAGAATTCATGTAGGCCCCTATGTTTAATGGGTTTGTTTTTCAGAACAAAGTTACTAGTGGTGTATTTCTTGCCCCTTGAGATGTACTTGTGGCTCCAATGCCACTGTCGTGCAATGAGTGGGCAGACAAACTGACCCACAATGGCTTGACTGCCCTGTTCAGTGCGCAGCGGTTAGGGAACCGTCCCAGGTACCCAGACCCTCACCAGGAGGGCAGGTTGTCTAGCCTATTAATCACACACGTTTGATAGTATAACTGATGCTCTAGAACTAACAGCAATGTACTTGGACCCACTACTTAATATATATACACTTTGACATCTTGACTTTGTTGCCTTGAGCGGTCTCATTGTGGCTCTTCAAACTTAATCGTTACATCTTTGTTATTTTCAGATGGAGCATATTCTGGAGGTGTAGCAGTGCTGATTGGTCATAGTGGGGGTGACATGGAGCCACGAGTCATGGTAAGTCCTCGCCTCATTCGGTTACCCACTGGCTAAATGTATATTGGACTCCTAGCAATCTGCCCCTTGAGGTGTTGCAGTCCAACTGTACGTGTTGAGCCTGTGTCATGAGGGGCAGAGAGTGACTGGGCTATGTCTACGCTGAGGACTCATAACAGTGGGTACTTGGAGTGATCATGGCTCCTATATTTGGCCATATGGAGACTCATCTAGACCTGCAGACAAATGTTCACTCCTGAGTGGCGCAGTGGTCTAAGGCACTGCGTCGCAGTGCTAACTGTGCCACTAGAGATCCTGGTTCGAATCCAGGCTCTGTCGCAGCTGGCCGCGACCGGGAGACTCATGGGCGGCGCACAATTGGCCCAGCGTCGTCTAGGGGAGGTAATGGCCAGCAGGGATGTAGCTCAGTTGATCGAGCATGGCGTTTGCAACGCCAGGGTTGTGGGTTCGATTCCCACGGGGGCCAGTATAAAAATAAATGTATTCACTAACTAAGTCGCTCTGGATAAGAGCGTCTGCTAAATGACTAAAATGTAATGTAAAATGTACAGGAAGTTTTTGAACATGTGGCTGAGTGCCTGTTTTAAACTCCCCCAGCAGTGTGCATCTTGTGCCAAAACCAATTTGATTACTGACTGGTAATTGCCATTGGGCCAATACTTAGTTTTTTTATTCACTCTAACCTGAGGTTTTACTTTTCTTGGTTGTTTTTAAAGGGTCGGCTTTTTTTTTTTTTGTGCCATTCATTGACAGATGGGAGAGGTGCTGAAGAATGAATCAACGTTGTGGCCCGTTTCATTTGAAGATGCAAGGTGACAGTAATAACTTGAGCCTTAATAGAAGAAAGCAGATCGTTCAGTCACCGTTCCTACCGGTCCTAGACTAAGGCGACATCTGATTCCACATGAATGCAGCTGCCACTTTATTATAAAAATGTAAACTGCATTTAATGGCGATCACACTAAAACCCTTTTGACTCTGTACCATAGTGACCTATAATAATATGCCATTTAGCAGACTCTTTTATCCAAAGCGACTTACAGTCATGCGTGCATACATTTTATGTTTTATTAGTCTTTGAGCCAATTTCACCATGTACCCTATATTGGTTTTCAATAAAAATGCCTACTTTGTATCACTTTCAAATAAAGTCGAGCTGATCTCACTGGTTGGTTGAATTTTCTTAAGTGTTTCTCTTCAGATGCACAAACATGGAATGTCCTTCACTATTACAATGAAACTACAATTATTTTTTTTACAACTAAATTGAAAATGTTATTGATGTGGCAACTGCTTGAATGTGCGTTATTGAATCAATAATTTAACAATCCAGTGAGAAGTCACAGGTCTGCTGGAATGGATGGAAGTTAAGGTGAGAACATGGATTGAGTTTCAGTGTGACCTACATGCCTTGAATGTGAAATGCTTATGGGCAAACTACACAATTCCCCCCCCCCCCCCCCCCCCCCCCCCCAATAACAATTCATAAGTGATTTTCTTTAGTCTGTAGAGAATGGCCATTGTTTAGAGTGCAGTCTTTGTTCCAGATCTGTTCGATACAGATTGGTTGCATGGTCCATCAACGATCCAGAGGGATCTCTCATGAGACTGAATCCTTTGTTCTAACTTGTCTGGGAGTGGATCATATTCCACACAGGAATTGTATACACAAATGCACCAGAGTTTCCCTCATGTACTGTTACATAACTGATCTTTAAGACAATGCACTTCTGCATTTTATCTTTAAATTAGATTTGTTTAAAAATTATCATTACACAGGCAAGGCCCAGAGCCTATGCAGTGTCCTGCATCAAATGAAACCTTCCTGCCTGTACATTTTAAATCCCTAACCTCAATTCGGTGTAACTTTGTTTCCCCAAAAATGTCTTCTACTCAAGCTTTTGGCATAGTCTGATTCTGTAAGAGACTCAAGAATCTAAGGTGGTGGGAAGTAACATTTTCCTTAGTCATCACCTATTCAGGGAGTACAAGTACCTCTAGGGTAAATGAGGGTAGAATTTGGACCGGCTTCAATTATCTGTATGTCCTGGGGGGGAAACTCCAGGGTCATAGACCTGGGTCGTATTCATTAGAAATGACTAAGGCAGTAGCTCTGTGGTCCTCAGGAGTATTGTGTGTTGGAGATGGTCTTCCACAGCAGGGTCTTGAGGTTGTTGAGGACCAGCGAGTGGTGCACCTCCATTTGGCTGGCCAGGCTGCTGAGCGTCACACAGGTACGGAGCTGCTTCTCCAGGTCTGTGCGGAGTTCCTGGGGCGCCCCGAACAGCAGGTAGTCTTGTAGCAACACACACACCTTGGCCAGGTTGGGCTGGACCACCTCCGTGTTACACTGCTTCACCAGCCGATCGCAGGTGGCCGTGCAGTCACTCCCAAAGGTGCAGTCAGCGTTGGTCTCACAGCGACGCCCCCGCATGAACCCGCGGACCGCCGTCTCAGAAGCCACGCTGCGCAGGTCGGCCATCTTGCAGTCGTACTTGAAGTTGTAGCCTATGTGGCGCGGGCTGGCGTCACACATCAGGAAGCTGCCGTAAGCCCCGTGGAACACCTGTTGATATTGTGGTGTATATATTAGCTAACAATGAATCACACATGAACTGAACTTTCTCTATTCCCAATGATTGTATTTATTCCCTGTAATTGTCTGTGCTTTGTCAATGCTTTATATGTTATATGTATGCACAAAGCCGCAAACAAAATGTCCTCATGGGGATAATACAGTGGCTGTGTCCGAATACCAATACTTGCGTCCTAAATAGTAGGCCATTTGAGTATGTGAAAATACTTAGTTTAATAGTATGCCACATTTCAAAAATCGAGTATACTTTAAATGCCGGATGTCGTACTCATTTCGGCTATGACAACAGTTGATCGATTAGATATGGGGATGCGCTATTGAAATCATTGAATAGCAGAAAACAACGCAATCGCGCATTACGCATTCTCTGTATGCGAAAATAGAATGCTTTATAGTATGTGCATTTTTGTAAATCGAGTATGGTTCAAATGCCCGGATGTATACTCATTTCGGCTCTTCATCTAGTAAAATTATATGAACACTTTACACAATGCATTGGAAGAGGTGGGCTGTGAGTGATAGGCGCTAGTTCTCTTCATGTAGCCAAGCAACAAAATTGGGCTACTTAATTGGGAAGATGCATATTAGCGAAAGCTTCTGCGGTGGTGTTCAAATGTAGGCGAAGTTGTTTTTGTTCTGCTTAAAATGATCACAAGTATTGCATCGAAGGCTACATCTTTGAAAACAAGTAAGTCTTGTTTTACCCAAAGTGGATTTCTGTTTTCTCATTAAAAGTGTTTCTTGTTCTCTTGGCCTTAGTCATAGCTTTTAAGCTAAATGCTAAATCATCTTTTGACTTCTGAATGTGTCGGCACCGGGGACTCGGGATGTGGCTGCCTTATTGATGTCATGTTAATCAGACCTTTTGATTTGAACATATGGATTGTTTTAGTTTTGTAGGCTAGGCTACTTATACTGAATAGAAATATAAAACACAATTTCAAAGACTTTACTTAGTTACAGTTCATATAAGGAAATGTCAATTGAAATAAATTCATTAGGCCCTAATCTATGGATTTCACATGACTGGGAATACAGATATGCATCTGTTGGTCACAGATGGATCAGAAAACCAGTCAGTATCTGGTGTGACCACCATTTGCCTCATGCAGCGTGACGCATTTCCTTCACATAGAGTTGATCAGGCTGTTGATTGTGGCCTGTGGAATGTTGTCCCACTCCTCTTCAACGGCTGTGCGAAGTTGCTGGATATTGGCAGGAACTGGAACATGCTGTCGTACACACCGATCCAGAGCATCCCAAACATGCTCAATGGGTTACATGTCTGGTGAGTATGCAGGCCATGGAATAATTGACATTTTCAGCTTGTGTACAGATCCTTGCGACATGGGGCCGTGATTTATCATGCTGAAACATGAGATGATGAATGGCACGACAATGGGCCTCAGAATCTCATCACGGTATCTCTGTGCATTCAAATTGCCATCGATAAAATGCAATTGTGTTCGTTGTCTGTAGCTTATGTCTGCCCATACCGTAACCCCACTGCCACCATGGGGTACTCTGTTCATAACGTTCACATCAGCAAATCGCTCGCCCACATGACACCATACACATGGTCTGCGGTTGTGAGGCCGGTTGGACATACTGCCAATTCTCTAAAACGATGTTGGAGGGTAGAGAAATTAACATTCAATTCTCTGGCAACAGCTCTGGTGGAAATTCCTGCAGTCAGCATGCCAATTGCACACTCCTTCAAAACTTGAGGCATTGTGTTGTGTGACAAAACTGCACATTTTAGAGTGACCTTTTAATTGTCCCCAGCACAAGGTGCACCTGTGTAATGATCATGCCGTTTAATCAGCTTCTTGATATGCCACACCTGTCAGATGGATGGATTATCTTGGCAAAGGAGAAATGCTCACTAACGGATGTAAACAAATTTGTGCACCACATTTTAGAGATACGTTTTTTGTGCGTATGAAACATTTCTGGGATCATTAATTTCAGCTCATGAAACATGGGAGCAACACTTTACATGTTGTGTTTATATTTTTGTTCAGTATGTTTCAAGATCATTCTGATCTTGTTCCCAATGATCAGTGCTTTAGTTTATTATCTTGCTGTTCAGCGGTTCTGAATTTGCGATACATCAGACTGTCCACGTTTTTCTGTGCAATAGCCTTTTGATTTTAACATTAAATGTTTTGGTGTGTGTACTAGGTTATTTGATTTGATTTATGTTACAGCACTTTGGTTTCACTAATAAATATGTTGAAAGGGAACCAAATGATCTGTTTCTGTCTTCAGTCCTTTTTAATAGGATAGATGGGCTATATGGGCTACAGTATAGGTTGAATGTGATAGTCTGCCTATAACCAGCCTGATTACGGCTATAACTCCATTCCTATTCTATTCAGAGTTTAGAGAAATTAATCGAATTGGAAATTAGCTGTCATCAGGCTGGTTAATGCAATGCATGTCTGTTGAATTTGGAAAAGTCTGCCGGCACTCGGCCCCGCCCCACCTACTCTGCCAGTCAGGAGCCGCTACTGCGTTGCGGCCGTGACATACTGCATACTTTTTACTAAACGGTACGTGCTAAATAGTTTCGACGATGAGTACATGGTATGTAGTACGCTATATGGGTATTCAGACACGGCCAGTATCCTATCTTTACCTCTTCTATGAACTCCAGCAGGCCGATGGTGATGCGGGCCCTCCGGGGCCACGCCGGGGCCAGCCACTGGTTCACGCTGGAGCTTAGGGCCTCCGGGACTAATGCCTGCAGGTAGCTGGGTACCTCCAGCCTGTAGAGGGAGCTGTGAATTGAATGTTATTTTGGGTATTATAAAAAAATTAAAAATGAAATATATATATATATATATACACAGTGAGCACTATAATTCATTGGACAGTGACCATTTTTTTGTTATACAATGACAATGAGGGTGAAGTGCAGACTGTCAGCTTTAATTTGAGGGTATTTTCATACATATCGGATGAACCGTTTAGAAATTATAGAAGCATTTGTACATGCCCCCCCCCCCCCCCCCCCCCCCCTTTTTCGGGCATCAAAAAACATTGGGACAGTTTCAGTTTAACATAATGTAGAATAAAGTAATCATTGTTAATATTTGGTCGCATATCCTTTGCATGCAATGACTGCTTGAAGTCTGTGATGCATCGACATCACCAGACGCTGCGTATATTCCCTGGTGATGCTCTGCCAGGCCTGTACTGCAGCCATCTTCAGTTCCTGCTTGTTTCGGGGACTTATTGCCTTCAGTCTCCACTTCAGCATGTAAAATGCATGTTCAATTGGATTCAGATCTGACTCGGCCAGTCAAGGATTTTCCACTTTTTGGCCATTAAAAACCCCTTCGTTGCTCTAGCAGTATGTTTAGGGTCATTGTCTTGTTGCATGATGAAGTACCGTCCAATGAGTTTGGAGGCATTTGGTTTTATCTGAGCAGATAAAATATTTCTGTAGACTTCAGAATTCATTGTTCTACTTCTGTCTGCAGTTACATCATCGATGAAGACAAGTGAGCCTGTTCCACTGGCAGCCATACAGGCCCAAGCCATAACACATTTTACATTTACATTTTAGTAATTTAGCAGACGCTCTTTTCCAGAGCGACTTACAGGAGCAATTAGGGTTAAGTGCCTTGCTCAAGGGCACATCGACAGACTTTTCACCTAGTCGGCTTGGGGATTAGAACCAGCGACCTTTCGGTTACTGGCACAACGCTCTTAACCACTAAGCTACCTGCCGTGTTAACCATGTTTCACGGATGAGGTGGTATGCTTTGGATCATGGGCATTTCTTTCCATCACGCTGGTACTTTTTTCCTCTTGGGGCTCTTTTAGGTGCTTTTTAGCAAACTGTAAACTCGCCTTTCTGTTCTTCAGGCTTATCAGTGGTTTGCATCTTGTAGTGTACCCTCTGTAGTCCTGCTGGTGTAGTCTTCTATGTATGGTAGACTTTGACACATCTACACCTGCATCCAGGAGAGTGTTTTTGATCTGTTGGGCTGTTGTCAGGGGGGTTTTCTTCACCATAGAGAGTATTCTCCGGTCATCCACTACAGTGGTCTTCCTCGGTCTACCGGGTCTTTTGACATAATTGAGTTCACCGGTTGTTTTTTTTCTTGTTAATTATGAACCAAACTGTTGACTTGGGCAGGGCCAGGGTTTTTGCAATGTTCCTGATTAATTGATTTTCATTTCTGAGCCTTATGACGGCCAGCTTAATTTGCATCGACACTGCTGTCTTCCTCATGATGTCACACCCCAACAACAACCTCCAAAGGCAATAGCAAAGTCTAGAATCAATACTATTCATCAACAGCTCTCCTGCATTCACTAACGACACAAATGAATACACCTGCCTAACGACACACATCTGTGAAGCCAATTTAACAAATACTTGTAGTACCTTAAAATGGGGGGGACCATGTACAAAAGGTGCTGTCATTTCTAAACGGTTCATCCAATATGTATGAAAATACCCTCAAATTAAAGCTGACAGTCTGCACTTCACCCTCATTGTCATTGTATCCTTTCAAACTCAACGTGCTAGAGTACAGAACCAAAATAACAAAAAAATGGTCACTGTCCAATGAATTATGGTGCTCACTGTATATATACACTGCTCAAAAAAATAAAGGGAACACTTAAACAACACAATGTAACTCCAAGTCAATCACACTTCTGTGAAATCAAACTGTCCACTTAGGAAGCAACACTGATTGACAATAAATTTCACATGCTGTTGTGCAAATGGAATAGACAACAGGTGGAAATTATAGGCAATTAGCAAGACACCCCCAATAAAGGACTGGTTTTGCAGGTGGTGACCACAGACCACTTCTCAGTTCCTATGCTTCCTGGCTGATGTTTTGGTCACTTTTGAATGCTGGCGGTGCTTTCACTCTAGTGATAGCATGAGACGGAGTCTACAACCCACACAAGTGGCTCAGGTAGTGCAGCTCATCCAGGATGGCACATCAATGCGAGCTGTGGCAAGAAGGTTTGCTGTGTCTGTCAGCGTAGTGTCCAGAGCATGGAGGCACTACTAGGAGACAGGCCAGTACATCAGGAGACGTGGAGGAGGCCGTAGGAGGGCAACAACCCAGCAGCAGGACTGCGACCTCCGCCTTTGTGCAAGGAGGAGCAGGAGGAGCACTGCCAGAGCCCTGCAAAATGACCTCCAGCAGGCCACAAATGTGCATGTGTCTGCTCAAACGGTCAGAAACAGACTCCATGAGGGTGGTATGAGGGCCCGACGTCCACAGGTGGGGGTTGTGCTTACAGCCCAACACCGTGCAGGACGTTTGGCATTTGCCAGAGAACACCAAGATTGGCAAATTCGCCACTGGCGCCCTGTGCTCTTCACAGATGAAAGCAGGTTCACACTGAGCACGTGACAGACGTGACAGAGTCTGGAGACGCCGTGGAGAACGTTCTGCTGCCTACAACATCCTCCAGCATGACCGGTTTGGCGGTGGGTCAGTCATGGTGTGGGGTGGCATTTCTTTGGGGGGCCGCACAGCCCTCCATGTGCTCGCCAGAGGTAGCCTGATTGCCATTAGGTACCGAGATGAGATCCTCAGACCCCTTGTGAGACCATATGCTGGTGCGGTTGGCCCTGGGTTCCTCCTAATGCAAGACAATGCTAGACCTCATGTGGCTGGAGTGTGTCAGCAGTTCCTGCAAGAGGAAGGCATTGATGCTATGGACTGGCCTGCCCATTCCCCAGACCTGAATCCAATTGAGCACATCTGGGACATCATGTCTCACTCCATGCTTTAGTCCAGGTCTGGGAGGAGATCCCTCAGGAGACCATCCGCCACCTCATCAGGAGCATACCCAGGCGTTGTAGGGAGGTCATACAGGCACGTGGAGGCCACACACACTACTGAGCCTCATTTTGACTTGTTTTAAGGACATTACATCAAAGTTGGATCAGCCTGTAGTGTGGTTTTCCACTTTAATTTTGAGGGTGACTCCAAATCCAGACCTCCATGGGTTGATACATTTGATTTCCATTGATAATTTTTGTGTGATTTTGTTGTCAGCACATTCAACTATGTAAAGAAAAAAGTATTTAATAAGATTATTTCATTCATTCAGATCTAGGATGTGTTATTTTAGTGTTCCCTTTATTTTTTTGAGCAGTGTATATAGAGAGAGACATATTTTGTTTACAAGCAAATGTCAAGTTCGAGTGATGCATGCGCATCCTCACACCAAAGAAGCTCTGTAGCAGTATAGCTAACTGATGTCGGGACCTTGATAAACTTAGCAGTGAGTTAGTGATGACCAAGAAAACACGCAAGACTGATGGCTATGTTCAACAGGTATATTATTCTTCTGGCTTTATCTAGCGCTATTTGTGATATTGTACCTTGCCTCGCTGGCTTGCTAACTTGCTAGGTATTCAAACCTCCAATGACATCGGGGATGTATGTAGACAATAACCATCTGATTACGTGTTTAACTTGCATGAGCTGCATTTGAAGTCAGAGGATTCTGTATCCACCCTTTCTGATTAGAAACTGCGAGTGCAACTTTTGATGATGCGGCCGGGAAATGGGTCTATATAAACAAGATGTGCATTTGATCCCAGAGGATATCACTTGAAAGCATACATTAAAACACATGATTGGACTGGTTGATGAAGCTACAAAGCCAAGAGAAAATCCAAACAATATGTGTTGCATTGTAATAAAGCTTTCTGATTCCAAAGTGGTCCTCACCTGTGGCTCACGCGCTCAGTCACGTACAGGTCCCCGCAGAAGCCCAGCAGTTTAGGGGTATGCTCCTTCTCCTGCAGAGCCACCATCAGCAAGAACTCGTTAATCTGGAGAAGAGCCCACACAGACTTGGCCTCGGCCAGAGACACCTTGCCGTCCTTGTTGATGTCAGCCAGGGTCATGACACGCCCTACCAAGGTGGTGAGAGAGGGCTGCTCCCCTAGGTTAGACTACAGGGAGGATGGAGAGAAGAAAATATGAAGTGAGGAAATGTTTACAGGTCACAGTGATGTTCAAACCTTGCATAGCTAATGTTACACTTTCCGTCAACTAAGCAAGGGGGTAAGTATCAGCCAGCTAAGACTAGAAAACAAGTTGAAATATACACAGAGTGTACAAAACATTAGGAATAGCCTCAATTCATCGGGGCATGGACTCTACAAGGTGTCGAAAGCATTACACAAGGATGCTGGCCTATGTTGACTCCAATGCTTCCCACAGTTGTGTAATGTTGGCTGGATGTCCTTTGGGTAGTGGACCATTCTTGATACACACAGGAAACTGTTGAGCGTGGAAAACCCAGCAGCGTTACAGTTCTTGACACAAACCGGTGCGCCTGGCACCTACTACCATACCCAGTTAAAGGCACTTAAATATTTTTTGTCTTTCCCATTCACTCTCTGAATGACACACATATACACTCCATGTCTCAATTGTCTCAAGGCTTAAAAATCCTTTAACCTGTCTCCTCCCCTTTATCTACACTGACTGAAGTGGATTTAACAAGTGACATCAATAAGGGATCATAGCTTTCACCTGGTCAGTCTGTCATAGAAAGAGCAGGTATTCCTAATGTTTTATACACTCAGTGTATATCATGCTATGTAAAGAGAAAAACTAAGCAACAACAGGTCACTTTTCAGTTCAGATAGTCATACACACTATAATAAAAACAAGACTGTGTGGCATGATTGAAATGTGCTAGATTTCTTCCATGTAGCTTCCATTAGATAATTGGCAGGGGGGCGACACTAATATAATTCAATCTCACAGTTGAGTGGAGCCATTGTGCTGAAGATGTCTGCTATTTCAGCACCTTGTATTGCGCTATATTTGGCACAGGGCTTTAACTCCTAGCTTCCTGCTCTCTCTCTCTCACTTCCCCCTACCATCACACACAACCTGGGAGAATCTCAATTGCATCCTCCTCGCGTCCTCTTTCCTCGCTGCCTCCTCAAAACCCATTGGATGAGAAAGCCAGAGGTCCCTCCCCTCTGACCTTCTCCTCCAATGGGGTTTGAGAAGGAGGCGAGGAGAGAGGATGCAAGGAGTATGCAATTGAGATTCTCCCCCTACGTCTACTGCCTCCTTCCATCGCACACTCTCTACCCCCTCTTCTTTCTCTCTCACCCCCCTCTCTCTCAGTCTTCTTTCCCTCGCTCTCTCTCTGGGGAGCCAGCAGCACTCTGACAGCACACACTAGTAATAAGGTCACTCTGCCCTGCCTTTGTTCCTTCCCAGCACAAACTACATGAAGCCTGTCTACAGAGGAACCGTCCCTCAGATAGACTCAGCTTCACAGTGATTATCAGTTACCATGTTATGTTAGCTTCCGACTAAATATACTGTATCAAGATGCCCTAATTTTCCTCTGCCACAAGGTCAAATTTATTTCCAATAATGGTCCTCACCTCACTTTCTATTATAGAAATGAATGTGAGAAACATTGTGTAAATTACAGTACATTTTTTAAATCTGTTAAATTTCTCATAATACTACAAGTAAGTAACATATTCTTATGTGTGATTGTATTGTATTCGAATGTGCCTGTCTGTAATGCTGCCTGTATTGCCTGACATAACAAAAAAACACCAGTTCCCTTGTGGAAAGTTATTCTATCTAATCTAACTGAGAGGAAGTGAAATGAGCAGCCAGACCTTCAGGAAGCTGTGCAGCATCTCTCTGAACTCGTCCATGGAGGTCCCTCGGGTGGGCTTGTCAAACAGGGTCATTTCCTGTCTCAGTATAGAGTCAGGAGCACCGTCTCCCTTCAGAGGCTCCTCCAGACCACACTTAATGACCACAGGCCTCTCCTTCCACACACCACTGTACACCTACAAACACAGATACACACACAGCCATTAGGTAGAGTAGGTAGTGTGTGGTTTTGTCAAGTGGTGTGCGTGCGTGTGTAATCTCGCAGAGCCAGACGTGTGTCTACGTGTATTGCATATACTCTGGCTACCTTTACACCAGCTGTCAAGTCTGGCGAGCAAGATTAGCCTGTGTAAGGTGGTTGTAACTTGTGAAGTGTGGTTGGCAGCTGGTTGGCTGTGTGCGTGTATTACCTGATGTGTGTGTGTGTGTGTTACCTACCTGGTGTGTGGAGGAGGTGGACATGCATCGCTGCAGGGTCAGAGTCCTTTTCTCACATAGGGCCTTGCAGGACGACCCTGAGACGATGCCTCTTCTGTAGTGGTCACACTGGCACAGACGGACAGGAAACCGGAAATACATCATCACATTATCAACAGGAAGAGGACCCAAGGATCCTACAATCTCTCGCTCATATGTACTATGGCCCGAATCCCAGTTGGTACTATGCCCCGAATCCCACCCGCATGCAAATCATGTATACTGTAGGTATCAATGGGGAATTAGTCAGGAATTTCAAGATTCGCACATAGATGTCAAGTAAGGATTTCTTTATTTTCACCCAGTGAGATTCTATGTGTTCTAGTGAGTTATGGATGGGTTAGCTGACAACGTCACGAAAACGATGTGCGCGCTTCCATGGGGTAGAAGCCAGCGTGTTGTTGTGATTCTGGATGGCCTGATTGCTAGCAAGAATGACAAGAAACTGCCATCTGGGGAATCGTAAGTGGCTCGTTTCAGCTCGTTTCATCTTGTTCTTGATACCATGTCTATTTACTATTTACCAAGAGAGTTTTCATCCGTATTTTTTGTAGCTGTCTATTCACTACCACAAATCGATGCTGGCACTAAGACCACACTCAACGAGCTGTATAGGGCAATAAGTAAACAAGAAAATGCTCATCCAGAGGCGGCGCTCCTCATTTCTACCAGCATGTCACCTGTGCAACTAGAGGGATAAAAACTCTAGATCACCTTTACTCCACACACGCATACAAAGCTCTCCCCCGCCCTCCATTTGGCAAATCTAACCATAACTCTATCCTCCTGATTCCTGCTTACAAGCAAAAACTCAAACAGGAAGTACCAGTGACGTGCTCAATATGGACGTGGTCCAATGAAGTGGACGCTAAACTACAGAACTGTTCCGCTATCGCAGACTGGAATATGTTCAGGGATTCATCCGATGGCATTGAGGAGTTCACCACATCAGTCACCGGCTTCATTAATAAGTGCATCGACGACGTTGTCCCCACAGTGACCATACGTACATATCCCAACCAGAAGCCATGGATTACAGGCAACATCCGCAATGAGCTAAAGGCTAGAGCTGCCGCTTTCAAGGAGCAGGACATAATCCGGACACTCATAAGAAATCCTGCTACGCACTCCGACGAACCATCAAACAGGCAATACAGGACTAAGATCGAATCCTACTACACCGACTCTGACGCTCTTCAGATGTGGCAGGGCTTGCAAACTATCATGGATTACAAAGGGAAACCCAGCCAAGAGCTGCCCATTAACACGATCTTCCCAAACAAGCTAAATGCCTTCTATGCTCGCTTCGAGGTAAGCAACACTGAACCATGCGTGAGAGCACCAGCTGTTCCGGACGATTGTATGATCACACTCCATAGCTGATGTAAGACCTCTAAAAAGGTTAACATTCACAAGTCCGCAGGGCCAGGCGGATTACCAGGACGCATACTCAGAGCATGCGCTGACCAGCTGGCAAGTGACTTCACTGACATTTTCAACCTCTCTCTGATCCAGTCAGTAATACCTACATGTTTCAAGCAAACCACCTAAGAACACCAAGGTAACCCGTCTAAATGACTACCGCCCCGTAGCACTCACATCTGTATCCATGAAATGCTTTGAAAGGCTGGTTATGGCTCACATCAACACAATCACCCCAGAAAACCCTGGACCCACTCCAATTCGCATACTGCCCAAACAGATCCACAGATGGTGCAATCTCTTTGCACTCCACACTGCCCTTTCTCACCTGGAAAAAGGAACACCTATGTGAGAATGCTGTTAATTGACTACAGCTCAGCGTTCAACATCATAGTGCCCTCCAAGCTCATCACTTAGCTAAGGACCCTGGGAGTGAACACCTCCCTCTGCAACTGCATCCTGGATTTCCTGATGGGACGCCCTCAGGTGGTGAGTGTAGGCAACAACACATCCGCCACGCTGACCCCCAACACGGGGGCCCCTCAGGGGTGCGTGCTCAGTCCCCTCCTGTACTCCCTGTTCACCCATGACTCCAACACCATCTTTAAGTTTTCCGACGACGCGACGGTGGTAGGCCTGATGAGACAGCCTATAGTGAGAAGGTCAGAAACCTGGCAGTGTGGACAAGACAAAGGAGCTAATGTGGACTACAGGAAATGGAGGGCCGAGCACGCCCCCATCCACATCGACGGGGCTGTAGTGGAGCGGGTCGAGAGCTTCAAGTTCCTCGGTATCCACATCACTAAGGACCTATCATGGTCCAAACACACCAACACAGTCGTGTAGAGGGCACAACAACGCCTCTTCCCCCTCAGGAGACTGAAAAGACTTGGCATGGGCCCTCAGATCCTCAAAACGTTCTACAGCTGCACCATTGAGAGCATCTTGACTGGCTGCATCACCGCTTGGTATGGCAACTACTCGGCATCCGACCGCAAGGCGCTACAGAGGGTAGTGTGTACGGCCCAGTACATCACTGGGGTCGAACTCCCTGCCATCCAGGACCTCTATACCAGGCGATGTCAGAGGAAGGCCCTAAAAATTGTCAAAGACTCCAGCCACCCAAGTCATAGACTGTTCTCTCTGCTACCGTACGGCAAGCAGTGCCGGAGTGCCAAGTCTGGGACCAAAAGGCACCTGAACAGCTTCTACCCCCATGCCATAAGACTGCTGAACATTTGCTCAAATGGCTACCTGACAATTTACATTGCCCCGCTTTATTATGTATTTATTTATCTTAATTGTTTTGCACTGACTCCCTTGCACTGGCTCTATGCACACTCCCTAGACCAGGGGTTCCCAAAAATGTTTCCCCGCGACCCCATTTTGATATCTGAAAATCCTCACAGTCCCAACCATGTGAAAATAATTATGTAATTAACAGCCAATGTTACATTTTGTATTTTGGGCTATGCCAGTCAATTGCAAAACATTCTGACAGTATTTCTGATTGTCTTCTCAACTCACCATCACATACTTTTAATGTGGGGCTATGCCAGTCAATTGCAAATTAGTCTGACATAATGTCTGATTGTCTCTTATCTCACCACCACTAATGAGACGGGTGTGCTTGATGCATGTCGTTTCGGAGATACTCAAAGTCAGGGGACGTGGTCAACAGTGCGCACCTCATCTCTGCTGTCACATCCAACCTGGATCGATATTTGCTTTTAATGCAAATGAGAACACTGAATCCAGCTTCACACAGTCTGAGCTGGCACCATGAGTAATAATGCTTGGAAGGAGACGGCAGTGTATTCCCTTCGAGTCAGGAACACAAACTCCTCCGTAGTGACCCGTGAATGCGTTGTCTGCAGCATTCGGTCACATGACAGCTCGATCAGCTGTTCAATTTCACTTGCCGGCTTGTCAACTGAGCCAGCATCACAATCAAACTTTGTCATGTCCAAGTCTTGGAAGTAGGTCCCAAAGTGCTCTTCCAAGCGTTGGAGGTGAGCAGTCATCACTCATGTGGGACACTCTTTCTTCGGAATCCACTGATTTGGTCACTCATCTGTATAATGTTTTTGTATTTCCCCTGCATGTTTGCGTTCAGTTCGTTCAGTTTCCCAAGTATGTCTGATAAAAAAAATGTTTTACATCCATTGCGAATGACAACAGTTCCTCTCTCAATTCGAAAAATCTTTCCAACACTCTCCCCCTCGATAACAACTGAGCCTCGGTGTGAAATAGCAAATTGTCATGCTCTGATCCCATATCTCCACACAGTTTTGCAAACAGGCGTGCACACAGTGGATGTGGTTTGATATAGTTTACAATCGAAGTTACCTGCTGCAGTATATCTCCGAGTTCTGCATTCAGCTCTTTTTCTCTCGGTGTATCATACAATGCGTCCATATGGCAGAGGGAGACAAATTCATAACTAGAGTGCGGAGGCCTGACCACCGTCCCGCCATAAATGAAGCCCACTCTGTGCAAAAGCCCACTAGCCGATGGTGGTATAAGGGTCCATTTTACAGCCGCGTAGCAGGTCTAGCCATTCACAGTGATTCAAGTGCAAACTATAGTTTTGGCAAGTGGGTTAGGACATCTACTTTGTGCATGACACAAGTAATTTTTCCAACAATTGTTTACAGACAGATTATTTCACTTATAATTCACTGTATCACAATTCCAGTGGGTCAGAAGTTTACATACACTAAGTTGACCGTGCATTTAAACAGCTTGGAAAATTCCAGAAAATGATGTCATGGCTTTAGAAGCTTCTGATAGGCTAATTGACATAATTTGAGTCAATTGGAGGTGTACCTGTGGATGTATTTCAAGGCCTACCTTCGAACTCAGTGCCTCTTTGCTTGACATCATGGGAAAATCAAAAGAAATCAGCCAAGACCTCAGGAATGTATTTGTAGACCTCCACAAGTCTGGTTGATCCTTGGGAGCAATTTCCAAACGCCTGAAGGTACCACGTTCATCTGTACAAACAATAGTACACAAGTATAAACACCATGGGACCACGCAGCTGTCATACCGCTGTCTCCTAGAGATGAACGTACTTTGGTGCGAATCAATCCCAGAACAACAGCAAAAGGACCTTGTGAAGATGCTGGAGGAAACAGGTACAAAAATATCTATATCCACAGTAAAACGAGTCCTATATCGACATAACCTGAAAGGCCGCTCAGCAAGGAAGAAGCCACTGCTCCAAAACCACCATAAAAAAGCCAGAATAAGGTTTGCAACTGCACATGGGGAGAAAGATTGCATTGTTATGTTTGGGGGGAAAAGGGGGTCGCTTGCAAGCCGAAGAACACCATCCCAACCGTGGAGCACGGGGGTGGCAGCATCATGCTGTGGGGGTCCTTTGCTGCAGGAGGGACTGGTGCACTTCACAAAAGAGATGGCGTCATGAGGAAGGAAAATTATGTGGATATATTGAAGCAACATCTCAAGACATCAGTCAGGAAGTTAAAGCTTGGTTGCAAATGGACAATGACCCCAAGCATACTTCCAAAGTTGTGGCAAAATTGCTTAAGGACAACAAAGTCAAGGTATTGGAGTGGCAATGCTACCAAATACTAATTGAGTGTATGTAAACTTCTGACCCACTGGGAATGTGATGAAAGAAATAAAAGCTGAAATAAATAATTATCTCTACT